GGGGGGTTGGAATTTAGGGTACTTATAGATATTTCGCAAATTTAAGGTGTTGGGTTGGGTTGGGAGGCGGGACAAGAAAGGGGATCATTTTCCCATCTTCAATTGTAGTTAAATATACCTGTAGCAATTATCTGATATTAAGGTATTGCCAGAATACCATGTTAAATAATTACATTCTACATAATCAATGAAGACTTAGATTGTAGAGAGGAAAGAGATCAGTTTATTGTTTGTTTTCAATTTCTACAAGTTATCAATTTAAATTGAATGAGCGAAGCCTGTTTCCACATTCTCCTTAAATATGTTGAGCTAGAGTTGAGGATGGAAGAGAGTTTCTGAGTTTTTTCCTTGAGAATGTGTGTTCTACTGCAGAATTTCCTATCTTTTCCTTTCCTTTTCATGTATGAGGGCCTCACTTTTTTGACCATTGATTTCTTCATTTTGATTCAACATTCTAAAATTAACATCTTAAAGTAAGGATCCTCATATATCGGCACTATTATTCAAGTGTTTGGTATATGCATATGTATGTTGGCTGATCTGCTTGAATGATGTTTCCGAGTTCTTTGCTCTTGACCTTTTCTTTTTCATACTTTTGGGTCTTTGGCTGTTTCTTTAGTGAATTTAGTTCACAAATGTGTGGTTTGAAGTGCTTATTAGTTATATCGAGATGGTTTGAGTTATCAGTATATGACATTTCTGAAGTCGTTAATGCTTCTTATTTGCCCTTCAAGTTCTGATCTATGTGAGTGCTGTCTTATATAGCAGAAAGAACGTTCTGTTATGACACAAGATACATTTGCATGGACATTTTTAGTGCTTTCATGATCTATCTCAAAATGTTGTTGTTTTTCAGAAATTTCGTTATTGAAGCCATGTACAATGTAAATTGCCAACAAACCTATTTCTATAAAGCATTAACTGTTTTTTCCTACTGCAGCTTTTATCCTTGGAGTAAATGTCACTCCTACCTTGGCAGAAGAAGTTTCTACTCCAGCAACTACTGGAATTGATGCTGAAATAAGTGACCTGCGCAAAATTGAGGATGGGTCTGTGATATCTAATATACACACATCCAAATGGAGAGTCTTTACAGACAGTGGAAGGGATTTATTTCTACAGGCATGCAGGCCTCCTATGTTATCACTGATACTTTGTATTTTTCTTTACAATTCAATTTGGTGGTCATACTCTCTGAACTTGCAGTAGTAATTCTATTCAACCAGGGAAAACTTGAGGAAGCTGAAAAACTGTTCCTCTCTGCACTGCAAGAAGCTAAGGAGGGTTTTGGAGATAGGGATCCACATGTTGCATCTGCATACAACAATCTGGTAGGTCCACTATAAGATGCTTTTTGTCCTTCAGGCTCTTAAACTATCTTCTTCAGGCTATTAATAAAATTATTTACCTTATCAAAGAAAAAAACCTGTTACTCTTAACATTATATTTCAAAATTGTTGCTAATGCTATGGCTGCTAAGTATTTTTGAATCATCAAGTACTGGTAATTTGGAAAGTGATAGTCTTCAAGTTGCATTTTTGCATGTTAGTTATTTTGGGGTGATCATTTAATTTCGTAGATGCCAAGGAAGTCAATCAATAATGCCCATACTTTAGGTGGTAGACTCACACTAATCTTTTTTTTTGATGAAGATGGTAGACTCACACTAATCAATAGTGTCCTAGACAACATCCCACATACTACTTGTCACTACATATGCCCTGCAAAGTGTTAAATCAGTTGGACAGGATAAATAGAAATTTTCTTTGGGAAGGGAATAGCATTGAGCATAAGTTTCACTTGGTGAAGTGGAAAAAGGTCATCCTCCCAAAACACCAAGGAGGATTGGGAATCAAGGACCTGACAGTTCACAACAAATGCCTACTGATGTAGTGGCTTTTGAGGTACACACAAGAGGAGCAACCTTTGTGGAAGATGGTGGTCAATGCTAAGCATGGAACTCAAGGCAATTGGTGCACTAAACTCATAAGAGCACCCCATGGGGTGGGAGTGTGGAAGTGCATACGCAGATTGTGGGAGGAATTCTCTGAACACCACTGCCTTACATTTGGGAATGGGCAACAAATCAAATTTTGGAAGGATAAATGGTTTGGGAATTCAGCCCTAAGGATTGACTATCCCAACCTGTTCCGGATTGCAAGTGATCCCGACTCTACAGTCATTCAAAATAAGGATGGCCCCATTTGGAATGTTACTCTAAGAAGGAATTTGCAGGACTGGGAGGTTTCTGATTATGTTCGACTGCTAGAGGCACTACATGGCGTCACACTAAATGAGCACATCACAGATAAGTTCAGATGGGGAGGAGTAAGTGATGGTAGGTATTCTGTGAAGGCAGGGTACAAGCTAATAATGGCTAGAAATGGAATTACCGATCTTTGGCCATGGAAATTAATATGGAGAACCAGACTATCACCCAAGGTCATCTGCTTCAGCTGGACTGCACTTTATGAGGCACGTTTGACTCAGGAGAACCTTGTTAAAAGGAACTTTCAGTTAGTTAATAGATGCTACACGTGTCAAAGGGATGCAGAAACCAACAACCGCCTATTTCTACATTGTAGAGTTGCAGCAGATATTTGGAGCATATTTTGCTCTTTTTTTGGTATTAGCTGGGTTATGCCTAACAATATAAAGGAGGCATTTCAGAGCTGGGGCAGCTGGAAAGTTGATAAGACCATCAAGAATATCTGGAAAATGATACCTGCTTGTATTTGTTGGAGCATATGGAATGAAAGAAATAGAAGATGCTTTGACGGACTTTCAACTCCTAACCACACCCTAAAAGCTAAATGCCTTTTGTTTATATTTAGCTGGGCAAATGTTTCCCTTGTAGATTCCCCAGAAACATTTGTGAACTTTGTTAGCTCTTTGTATCTAAGTTAGCATATACAGGATGTAGTAAGCTAACAGGCGGTCTTTTTGGTTTTTTGAAGCTTCTTGTAATAATTTGCATCTTCTTGATGATATCAATGAAGCCAATTATTTCATCAGAAACAAAAATAATAATGGCCATACTTTACAAAATTAGGTTATTGGAGGCGTGCTGATTCTCATTTCTTATTAAGACTCCAATTTTCAGATTGAATCTTTAGATGAATCCAATAACAATGTAAAATCACCCGTGTATGAAATGTCCATTACTTTGATTTCTTATATTAAAAATATGCCACATGAAGAATGGAGTGAATACTTCTAATTTTAAGTAACAAGTTTGCATGAAACTCATTTTCTACTTGACTGATTAGTCTATATAGAAAGGTTATTGGTTCTGTTGTTTTTTTGACAGGCAGAGCTGTATAGAGTCAAAAAGGCATTTAATAAAGCAGAACCTATGTACTTGGAAGCAATCATTATACTCGAGGAATCATTTGGACAAGACGATGTTCGGTAGGTGTGAGATGACTTTTCTTGAATATGTTTCCTATATTATTGTGGAGACACATGGTTGTGGGGCATTCATATGTGTGCTATCTTAGTACATGAGTTTATTGGTTTTTAATTAATACCTTTCTCTTCTCATGGGTCAAATTTTGAGTAGGATCAGTTTATATATGAACCTTGCTACTCTAATACCGCCCAAGGTGAGGTCAGCTGTGTCCGAGCCTGACACTTAGGTTGAGTCGAAAGAAACATGGTGAATCCTCAAAGTTTGCAAACAGGTCAAACTATCAGCAGATCTGACTACTTCCATGGTTTTCTATACGAAAGAATCATTGCATGCTAGGCTCCAATTATTTTATATTCAATCAATGAATCAATGAACTAAGCCTCCTTAAGTGGTTGGATCAGTTTTATGAATTTTCTACGTAAAATTTTTGCTCTATTAAAGTCCATTTCATTCCAATACTAAATTATTCGTCTTTTTAGACAAAAAGGAGTTCTCTAGGTTTCACAGTTATCCTGCATAAACACTTGTTTACTCCTGTACCTTCAGTGTCTTTTCATCTTAGTAAGTCCAAATTGATTCCGAGAGTTTATAGGTCTTTCAAAACTTCTTTTCTCCATGTGAGTTTAGATGTACCTGTCTCTTTTATCACCTTTAATCATCATATTGTCACACCTCTGATTGATGCATCTGGAGGTCTACTTAGGACATGGCCAAGTGTTACCTCTTAATTTATCCTAAATTTGTGCTACTTGCACCCTCTTTGGATGTGATCATTTCTAATCTTCTCTAATCTTAACTTCACATCCATCTTAAACATTTATATAAAAGTTAGGATTTCGAGGTCCAGTGTTTATTCCCCATGTTTTATTAGCGGTGCTGCAGCTGTTCTACACAGTACTCAGCCATTTATATAGGGAAAGGAATGCTGAAACGGTTTATAACAGTATAAGTGGAGAGCAGTAGTAAATGGAAGAGTTTTTGGCATAGTTATTCAAACCATGCATAAAGCTGATGGTGTACTAGAGAACAAGAGGATAGAACAAGGAAAGGGAAGATTGTCGACATTTAGTTTTCCATGCGACGAGGAAATAAATGTAGGATCTATTGTTTAGATATGTTGGTATCTTAAATGCAGACAGTAATTCAGAGAGTTAGATTTGGTTGATAAATATAGCACGCCATCGTCAACTACTATGAGAGCCTGAAATTGCGTGATATCTTCCCTGTCCTGTGTGAACAGCAAGTACGTGATTCTTATTTTCATCTCAAGTTGTAAGTTATCATGGTTCCATGGTTAAGAAATAGTAATTAAAGAATAAATGACTTACGAAGTAAGGAAATTGGAGGAATATTTTTGAAACTCAGGGTAGCCAACTGTATTGTATGAGGTCTATAATACGACCCATATGTAAAACATCTTCAGCATTCCTTATGAAGCAAGATGCTCCATTAGTTGCATAATGATCGATTTGCTCTTGTCAGTATCGTGTTGCTGGTTAGGAAATGCATTGCCTCTATACAAATCTTGTTGGAAGATATATCATAGTTAATCTCCAAGGCCACAAATTTAGTATAGAGTGAGAGTTACTTCGTTAATCCATCTAGCTGCATTTTTGATTACTCGCTTGAAGGTTGAGTATCACTTCCCCTTATATGCTTTCTTTTGTGTCGTAGAGTTGGGGCAGCCCTTCACAATCTAGGCCAATTCTATCTTATGCAAAGAAAACTGGAACAAGCTCGTGGTGTCTATGAGGTAAATGAGCAAACATTTTCAGACACTTAATTTCTTTGCAATTCTGATTCACAAAACTTTTATGACATTAAAGTCATGTTCATGATATTGTTGTATTATTTCTTAAGATGGTGTGTATCTCGGGGGTAGTTTATTATCCCCAGCCACTGGATGGGTTTGCTTAGAAGTTGTGGATCTTATCTGCTCAGCTGACATAATATTGTAGCGTTTCCATTCCAAACATCCTTGGTATAATGTATTCTTTATTGAAGGACTTGAATTGGATCCAAGCTTGCTGTGTCATTTGACCTTTTCTTTTTTTGGGTCACATTGGCGTATCTTGATTTTCTTTGTTATACCACCTTCTTGCCATGATATCCTGTGTGCATCATTTTTCTTCTTCTTTTTGTGTACACGATTTGACTTTTCAAGAATGGCTTATATTATGTGATTTTAAACTTAGGTATTAGCATTGGAAACAGTCCTACTCTTAAGTTAAATGCTTCTAATGCTGACTTGAGCATGGAGCACGAGATTCATTCAAGTTGAAACTAGTTGAAATTAATTAACCTTATCAAACTATGCTGAAGTTGGGCATACCTGTATCACATATTGAATGTGTTCTTTGACGTGGCACAAACTAGTTGAAAATTTGGATTGCCTATATGAAGGGAACATGCTGGGGCCGTTGATTACTTTTTCTGTTCTTCATAATCAAAATAAGAGAAATGTTTATTAAGAAGTGGAAGAGTAGTGCTTATGCAGCTTTCCGCAAAGCATATGACTGAACCTTCCTTTTTCAACTCAGTGGATATAATTTTGGTATAGAACAGTATATATTTAATTTGGATGGTGGGAGTGATAAAATGTTGCCCTCAGCAGTAGTTCTTTTGACATGCTTGAGGCATGATTGTCGGTTTTAATCTGAACTGTAGCTTTTAGTTGACAATATCCTTTCTTTTTCTTCTTCAAAATTTTCAAGTGCTCTTGTGTATCTATTACTGATATCGTTTTCTTTTCTTTTTCGTCCATATTATTTACATGGCAGCGCGCTTTAAAGGTATGATGTTATTACCATGACTTGCAGTGTAATTACTTCAGTTGTTGCTATTAAGTTTCTAAATATATTTCTTTCACCATTTAAACTTGTAGATTAAGAGGCGTGTCTTAGGGGAGGCTCATCCGGACTATGCTGACACCATGTATCATCTGGGAACAGTAATACCACAGTTTCTGCTCCACTTCATGTTCATATAATCCTTATGGTTGGTAGAAAAGTTTGTCTCCTGTTAGACACCCCAAGTCTCGGGCAGAACAGGCCAATTCTTTTGTATTGATTACAAACTTCTTGTAACCAGTTTAAAATGGAGGCTAACCCAACTATGGAGAATAGGGCGCAGTTACATCTCCAAGCAAACAAGTGGAATACCAGATACCGAGCTTTCCTGTAGCTAATAAACAATTAATGAGAGGGATACACAATTTTGTTCATGGACTTAATTACTTACTTTCTCTCTATCTCCTGTTAGGATTTGGGAATATTTCACAATGGCTGTAATGATGCATTCTATCTGTTGATATAAAGTCAATAAAATAAAGACATCTCCTCTTAAAACAAAAACACAAGAAGACAGGGAAAAATAGCTACCTAATGAATGCCCTTAGCCAAGAAATGTCAAACTTTGAAGTAATCTCCTTTACAGCTTCTGCCTCTTATTGTTTCCATTGTCATAGATGCAATATCTCTAATCTATCCTTTTCTTCTTCTGCAACTATATGCATCTCACTCATTCAAGTTTTGTTTTATCTTCAATCTCTTATTCTTGTTAAAATCTAATTTGTAGCTAAAGCTCTTTGGCTTGTATTTTTTTTTGTTGAGAAAGGTAACATATTATTTAATCGTAGCACAAAGGCTGTGCTAAGGCCATAGATACATATATCAAAACGAGCAAAACCACGGCTATCTTTCAACTCCTACTACAGTGATCCTATGATATCTATCATTGAATCTACATCGTGTACAAAATCTTCCTTACACCAAAAGTGAAACAGAAATAAGCACTTCATCTTGTATTTTATGTTTAATGGTTGAGTTTTTTCCTGTGTATATGTTTTATGTTTCCTCTCTTTCACTTAATTTTTCTGATAGCTTTTCCTTTTTTTATTCAGTAGTTCGCATCTACATTTATATGCTTTTGGCTAAATAGAAAATGTAGACAAAATTAAATTTTGAAAATATGGTGCATATAATTTCTAGTGCCTCTCCCGAAACTGAAACCACTTCTGCTGGTGGGCAGTCTTTTCTTATGTAATCTTTAATAACTTTGTCTGACAAGAGAATCCCACTCCACTTCCAGGTGCTGTATCTTCAGGGAAAATACAAGGATTCAGAGGCTCTGGTTCGCGATTCTATTCGGATTTTGGAGGTCCCTAAATTTGTTACACATGCTGATTGTGGGTATTCTATAATTGATCTGTGTTTCTGTTCTTACAATTTTGTTTACCATTGTAGGATGGAGGTCAAGGTGAATCAATGATATGTACCAAGAGGCTGCGACAGCTAGCTGAGGTTGTGCTTCCAGGCTTTTTTGCATTTGTTCCAAGGTTATGCGAATGTTGATTGTGCATAGAGTAAAAACCATTGAGGTTACTCTCACTGGGTACAGTTGATCTAGCTTAAAGTTGAACAGAGCACTATTTCTTTTACTCGAAAAAGTTTTGGGTCAATTCTGTGTGATTGAGACTTAAACTTTGTGTTACCCAACAAAAGGATACTACAGAAGATTAATTAAATGCTGCTATCTGAATATGTCCTCCTAACAGCTATGCATGTATTTGTCCTGGAAAAGACTTGTTCAAGCATAGAAAGAGCAAAATGACCTGGTATCATAAGCTAGATATTTTCCAAGGTACATTCCAAGCCTTTGCATAGCTAATTGATTCATTAGCCTATTATAGGGTAATAACTCTGGTCTTAACTAGCTCTGCGATTTGAATAATTGGTGATCTGTCTAATTAATGTCATATGACACCGGTGAACATTCTTTACGTATTAATTCAACAACTTGCATCGTAGTGATCAAAGAAAAAAAGCATGGTACATGTACACTAAGGAAGTTTCTTGAAATGAAATCTGTCATTCTCTACGTGGGGAAACACATTGCAAAAGATTGGTTTGCTGTAATTGGGGTTTCTAAGTCCTTTTATTTTATTTTCTTTGAAGTCTTGAATACATCTGCGTATGGTTCTTTTCTTTTAGGCTGCTGATATCTCTTTTTTCGTCCTTTACTAATAAGCATACCATGTCTTAGAATACTGAAAGTATTGAGCTACTGCACAAATCAACATATGTAATTCTAACAGATCTACCTGCTTTTGTCTGTCACAAAAATCTGAATTACTTGGTAAAGTTAGCTTACAATCTACTCTCCTTTATAGATATATATTAAATCTGACCGAAACGAGGAGGCTGAGAACGTTCTGAGAAAGATCCTGCATATTATGGAATTAGCAAAGGTCTGCCAACCTCTCTTTTTTTCCGGGGATAATATTTATTGTTTCTATCTGTTCTAGAAATGATTACCTGAAGTTATACTTCCAGTTCGTTTTATCCGTTTTTGGATTGCTGACATCTTCATTGTTAGGCTAGTAGTTTAACGTGCATAATACTGATTTAACTTTGTTTTGTAGATATTAAAATTGTGAATAAAAATTTCAATTTTCTTTTAATCAGTATTGAGTGTTTCAATTTTAAAAACTTGTTTCCCTTCTGGTTTCAATGGGAAAACAAGATCTACCTCTAGATCTCTTTCTAAACTGTTAAAAAGGGTAGACCGATACACAAAGCATCCCGCATTGACGCAAACATCTGTGGAGGGGCCGCACCCAAGGGCATGATGTAGACAGCATTAATGCAAGCATTAGTGTCTGCTTCTACGGCTCGAACGTGTGACTTATAGATCACACAGAGACAACTTTGTTGTTGCTCCGAGGTTCCCCTTCTTTCTTACCTGTTCAATGACCAAAAAAGGAAAAATATAAAGAGAAGAGAAACCGTCCAATTTTTTCTATTTTATTGCTGTCCGCAACATCCGAATGAAATTACAGATCCAGTGTGATAGTGTAGCAGTCTAAACATAACTTTGTGACTAAGGTAACAGGCAAAGCAAGGACATTTTTGTAGGGTTTCCTAGATTTAATTCAAATTTATGAAAATGGATGAAACATGAATAATTTAAATCTTTGATTCAAGAGCTTAGCGAATGCAAAAGGACGGGAATGTTTATTTTGGGGCTGACAGTAGTATGGTGCCTGGCCTGCATTGCAATATCATTCGCTAGTGTCTCCATGGAAAAGCATTACCGGAAAAGCAGAGCACTAGTTTTCAGTTTCCAGCAATATGACAGAGCTGCTTAAGCTAGTAAAATAGCGTGATCACAATGCAAGAATATTCTAATGCTTTCTGATTTAATATCTCTTAAGGGAAAAACTGTGACTTTGATGAAGAAATTTTACCTCGTGCTAAACCTTACCTCCAAATTTTCTTGTCTGAAGATGCTTATGCTACGAAATTGAAATAAAAGGATCTCCAGCAAGATTCTGGTTATATATGGTGTTTATTTCCTTTTAAAGCCTCTAGAGTTCAGTTGGACCAAAATCATTGAACTCTAATGCATAATTTTTGTTTTTTCTCTTCGGAAATTATTCTATTTTTCCAAACCTTGTTACTCTATATCCATAGTCATTTTCTCACTTGTTGTTACTCATATCTACAGGGTTGGAATTCTTTAGAGACTGTAGTTGCAGCTGAACGCCTGGCCTTGACCCTTCAGTCGCTAGGAAACTTGAAAGAAGCTCAAGAGCTTTTAGAACGGTGAATCATGTATCCTAATTAATTACTGAGTAAGGTGTAAGCTTTTAAGACTGATAAAGCATGACATGATATAATTTTTTGAGCAGGTGTCTTGATGCCCGAAGAGCTTTACTCCCTGAAGACCATATTCAGGTTTTTCCTCTAAATTCTCGACATATACTAGCAATTCAGGATGATAATATTATCTGTTGATTTAATACTATGAATTCTGTGTAATTTCCCTTATCCTTCTTCATTAATAGATTGCTGTGAATTTCCTACATATTGCAAGAGTGAAAATGCTCGACTCTAACAAGCTCCAGAAAAGTAATGTTTATCAAGCAAGGGCTGAGCTTGATATGGCAAAAGATCTTTTAAGCAAGTCGATAAGGTATTTATTAGTCTTAGCTTTGGTTTTCTTTTATATTTTCGTCTTACATTTCTCTGTTAACTAGTTTTGACGTTAGTATCATCTCTTACAGGTATAATTGTTTTTGTCCACGTTCAATTTTGAAATATCTCTTGTTTTGTTAGTATCCGCTTAGATTTAGTTTTCTGTTTTTTGAGATTCAGCAGTTCCGTTGAGTGCATCATACGATTACGCTACACCTTAATCCCAAGCGAAATTAACTAGTTTTACACCGACCGTCAATATACTGCAATCCTTCTTTATCTAGGTTTGGGACCAACAATTTGAGAAACGTCACAGGCAGAATCAATCGCATGACCACTATATATATTTTTGGTAAGATAATAATTGTAAATCTCTAGGTATACAAGTTAAATACAAAAGGCGGAACACGTACACCAGAGCAAAAGTGGCAGAATTATCTACTAACTGTAACCTCATGAGTGCATTAAGATTTTCGAGGGCGATAAAGACTAGTTCTCATTCGTACAAAAGGATATTCTACTCCTTCAAAGGCTAGCTTACTGTCTTCTCTCGTGACTACCCACGTAAGCATCAAGGGGCTATATTCCATGCTCTGCAATTCAGCACTGACAACCATATATGGCCGTGTATCTTGGTTCGTTAGTTTGTACAATTATGTGATGAGGTTTTGGAATTTGTCCACTGTCCAGTGTTGCAGGTTTCTCTTTGAACCTCAAGTCTAAAAAAAGTTTCGTGTGTCCTGAGTGCATGAACTCATATTAGTTGTCAATTTCTTCTGGGACTGTTTAGCTATGTATGCTGATCAATTATGGTAGTTTTAACTCATTTGAACTTAGTAACAATTGCTCGAATTTTAAGTTACCAAGTTTTGTATCAAATGTGTAATTGGTAGCAAGGAGTTTAAAGTGTCTTTTTGTGTCAAAGGAACTGCTACTCGATGCAGTTTACAAGTGAGTAAGGAATTGAGATTTCCTTCCTGAGGAGTCTTTCGTCTTGCTCAGGATAATATCTCTCTCTGATGAGTGATATTTATGCCATTATGTAACTTATACCTCACCTTATCTCGGAGAAACTAAAATCATTCCTTTGCAAAGTGGTCCCACAAGCTTGTCCATTATCAATATTGGTGACATCATGACAACTTTTCTCAGTCTATTGTTTTTCTTAATTGTTGATTGTAGTGTGGCTCGGGGAAATCTGGTGCCTTCCATGAAAGGGAAAGGAAATAAACAGTCTTATGGAGCATCTATGACAACAGTAAGGAGCAGGCAATCAGCAATGATGATCCTGGTCAGTTCCCATGATTGATTGTTTGTGAAGAGAGACAGTTAAATGTTATCCTCTGCTAACTTCTGTTATTTAAGCAATCCAACCAATATTTGTTTTAAGATGTTAAAATTGTGAGATCCTTTATTGTTTTTCTTTTTTGTAAAGTAGAGGCATATGGGTATATGGTACTCCTGTATTTGGATGCACTAACGTACAACCAGCTGGTTGTGAAGAGTGTGAATCGAGGAAAAGCGACAAGCCCCTTTTTGCTTAAAATGAGAAGCGAGAAGCGAAGCGCTTGCTTTTTTGAAGTGAAGCGGAATTTAAAAAAGATATTAAAAAAAATACTGCATAGACAACACATGTAACTGTAAGCAAATGTTCAATACTTCAATGTAAAAACTAAAGAGTAGCATCAATTAAAGCACAAAATGAGCATCCTAGAGGAGAAGAATGAGAAAGAAGAACTGAAGGGGAAAAAAAAAATTGCCAGCATTTTGCTGCTATTTGGACGCTGAAATAGTGAAAGAAAAGAAAAAGGAGGAGGAGGAGGAAGAAATCACATACCTGGACCAAACTTGATGATCTTGAAGTTGAAAAGTGTAGAAAATCTAACCCTAGGTCACCTCTTTCTTTCTCTGTTGCTGCTGGTCGATGATGTTTTAAAAAAAGAACAGCTTTTGGCAGCCCTGTAATAAAGAGAAGCGCTCGCTTCTTACGCATTGCTTCGCATCGTCACTTCTCGCTTTGTAAATCTGCTACGCTTCAGCTAACAGAAGCGTTCGATGGCTCACCTCGCTTCGCTTCTCGCTTTAAGCGAGGAAGCGCTCGCTTTTCACAACACTGCGTACAACCTAAGTTTCTCGGACTCGGGTGCGGGTGTCCGATGCGGGTGCAGATCTAGAGGTCGTATCTTTCATGATCTAAATTTTAAGATTCAGGGGTATGGATCCAGGTACGGATACGGGTGCGGGGATTCGACAAATAATTTAAATATCTAAAACTAGAGTTATAAAAATGTATCTAAATTATGAGATTATGCGGAAACTTTAAAGGTATTCTAATAAGGAATAAATATTGATCAATAAGAGAATCCGAGTAGGAGATAAAATGGGTGATGCCAAGCACTGTTAGGGAAATGCTACAGAGCTGGGCAGGTCTAACCAGGCGAAGAAACCAAAAGGCGTGGAAGTTAGCACCGCTAGCTCTCATGTGGATAGTTTGGAGGGAGAGAAATAGGAGAGCTTTTGAAGGAATTGAGTCACCTTTTTCAAATATTAGTAATAGTCTTTTATCTTTGCTTGCTTATTGGTGTACTCATGTAGCCCCCACTTGTGTGGATCTTTGGGAGTCTTTTGTAGAGAATCATGTCCTGATGTAAATTCTCTACTTTTCTGTATAACTTTGTTAAAAGGGAATTTTCCCTTTCTATTGGATCAATACAATTTACCTTATCAAAAAAAAAAAAAAAAAAAAAAAAAAAAAAAAAAAAAAAAAAAAGGATTGGCATAAAATGTCTATATACAAGGTATTTCGTTTTTTCAATTTCATCCTAATTTTTGTTTTGATTTCAAAAATCATTGTATCTGTCCGAAATTTCTCCGTCAATTTTGGTTAAAGTACCCAAAATCGGTTAACCAGATCCGGTACGGACCCCGCACACACTTCGTGTCGGCATGGGTGCAACACTGAAAGTGAAGAGTCCGAGCAACTTAGCGTACAACTATAGTTTGAGACTATCCAAAGATGCCGCTTCTAATAGTGAATTTGCCCCATTGGTTGGTGCCTGAGCAGCAAGTAACTCTGCCTCATGGTTTTCCAGTTGGGTTGTCTTGTAGTAAGCAGGTTGTAGCAGAATGTATCTTTCAATCCTCTCAAAATTCTTCTAATTTTGTAATTTATTTCATTTCCTACTATCTTTTGAGTTTACAGTTACAATTTAGAGGGAAAGATAATTAAAGTTCACACCGATGCTTCATGAGTCTAGGCAAATTATGCGAATCTCAGATGGAGTGACATATTTTTCTTTTGCGCCAAGGTAGCTCAGGCGATTCAGGATTTCAATGTTGGATAAATATGCACAATAACGATCTAGGGTTTCTTCTTCTTAGATGGAAAGAAACCCCATTTGGTATTCCATTTATGGACAAATATATAAATTGACATATTCTTTTCATCCATTCAACAACTACGCCTCAACTCACGCTATTTTGGTTGGTTATATGAATCCTCAGTATCCATGTCACTCCACTAGACCAGCCTTAGTCTAATATTCCATATTTTAAGTTTTCTAAGTCTCCAACGCGAACATCACGTGTCAGTAGCGTTTCAAACCCTAAGTCTCTAGGACATAAGCAAACCTCTTTGACCGCTGGACTCCAGTTCTTTGTTTATAGGATTGGGCTCTCCGAGAAAAAAAATGAGGGCTTTAACTGATTGAAGCATTAAAACATAATAACTATTCGACAAAAAAGAGGAAAAGGCACTAGGGTAACCTTCTGAAGGTGAGGTGCTCCAAAACCTTTTTGGATGGGCAATTAAAGGTTGTTTTAGGATTTATTCACATTTTGCCCTTTTTTTTGGGTTAGTGAGCCCATTGTGCTGCTAGGAGCTTTTAGTTATTGGGTTTGGTATGGAATGTTCACTGTAATGTAGCCTTCCTTTCTTTGACAAGTAAATGAAGTTTCATCTTTCATTTCAAACTTGTTATCCTCTCTAAAAGAGGATATGGAAGAGACCATTTAAAAATCTTTTGGTGTTATTCTATATGATTTGTACATGATGTAGGTTTAGCCTAGTGGTAAAGACTTTTCACCTCCAATCATTAGGTTGAGGTTCAAGTCACCAAGGAAAAAAATGGTAAAGGGCCATTTCTGGGCCCTGGGTAGGGGATTTGACGTTTGGAGTTCACCATATCAGGAAAGGAAAGTATTTGCAAAAAGAGTAATCAGTGCGACTTAGTATAATCTTTAAATTAAGAATCTTAAGCTTTAGAAGCGCTATCTAACTAACAACAACAATCCATTATAATCCCACTAGTAGGGTCTGGGGAGGGTAGTGTGTACGCAGACCTTACCCCTACCCTGGGGTAGAGAGGCTGTTTCCAATAGACCCTCGGCATCCTTCCCTCCAAGAACTCCCCACCTTGCTCTTGGGGTGACTCGAACTCACGACCTCTTGGTTGGAAGTGGAGGTTGCTTACCATCAGAGCAACCCCTCTTGTCTAAAGAAGCGCTATCTAACTGAATTCTGAATTTCTAGAGGGGCAAATGCATAGTTTTGCTTGGGGTTTCCTGCTATATGGCGGATTTCAATTAAATCTCCTCACTTATTGATGTCCTGCGGACCTCTTAGTCCACATTACTCTACCAAGAGTCTGCAACAGAGAATTGTGGTCTTTTGGGTATTAATATTCAGGCATCTATAGAATTCCTAAAAAATGGAGAATGTGCTCATCTCTTCTGCCTTTGTATGGCTTAACTGACTGACTGCTAGCACCCTTTTTCAAAAATAATTTTAAAAAACTCCTCCTGTTTTAAATTAGGTTTATTGTGGATTTGCCTGCAGTTGCAATCACTTAATACTCTTTCGTTGTTGGAGATGACAAAGCTGGAGCGTGAAGAATCAAAGGTTAGGTTATATCGGTTGTCTTTCATTAATAATCCTATCTGTTTCTCTGGGATGTTTCAAACATTATGAAACTGATTTTTGATTGCCCCTTCTACTGAACAAGGACCCTTATAGCTCTGAGGCTGAAAGTGCTCTTCATCAATGCATTTCTGCATATAAGGAGGTATGAACAGTTTAGTTTTATGTTGGTCAGTAATAAGTTTAGTTTAGTCAATTCATTTATGCATATTAGTTAATGATCAGCATTTGAACTTTGTTATCATGATCTTGTGGCTTTACTGGTTATACCTTTTCTTCTTGGTTCTTGCACCACATGGAAGCTTAGAATACACCAATTATAAAATCCCAAGGATAGTATAGTTGAGGAACTTCTGTTTCTATCTCTAGATATAGTTTCCTTGGAGCAAGTCAAATTCTCCTTTGGATGTCAAATGTTTGGTTATCAATTATGTGTCATGCTATGATAGGCAAATCTATGTCCTTTCTGGATATTGTTGAGGTAATAGCTAGTGTGCTTTTAATGATAAATTTACAGGTTCTGTATATTAGTGTTTTAAGACAGAGAAAGCAAAGTACAAGGACTTCAGACCTGTCCAGGCTCTCCGATAGAAAAATTAGATGTCACAATAGCATCTTACACGATTGAGGCAGCATATATTTCAATTCTTATTTGTGCAAACCATGACATAGTTTGGTTTTTGGGCGTATAATGTTCTTTAAAGAAAAAAAGGAAGAACATATATTTAGAAACTACAAAATTGTAATTACTCAGGTCAAGATGGTTCCCACAATCAAGATTTTGAAATATGCAAAAGACTTTTTATTTGAACTTATGGGCAAATCTATTCCCAGTTACTCTACATCTAAATATGACATCGGTAAGGGGCATGAGCCTTTTTTGATTTTCTGTTGAACTATTTTGGAATCTCATCAAGTGTTTTTACTTTTAGTTGACAAAATATATATTCTGTCTTATGGTTTTATCTTTGTTGTTGTGTAGTTTGTTACTGAGAAGTCATTGTGTGATGCTCCTGGAGTAAAAGCTGAATACCTCTTGTGCTTGAAGCATCTAGTGGATCTATTAAGTGATAAAAAAACCTCGAGCACTGATCGATCTAGCAAGCCTGCTTTACAAGAGTTGAAAGATGAAATTAAGCGCATAGAAGTTGAACTCTCGAAGAAAGGAGGGCGTAGAAGTTGAACTCTTGACGAACGGAGAGTGTAGAAGTAAGCAACTATATGTATAAGTCCATAGCATGTGCAATAAAAGATGAAGAAATAAGTGGAAAACCAGTCAGAGATGAAATGTAAAGATTTGATCAAGCCACTAGCAGAGATGGGATGTACACTATTTTCTAATCCCTGAGATTTGTAGGGTAAAATAAATAAAACAGGAAGGAGAAAGAGAAGTTGGTGTGCTGTGATTTGACTGTAAAATGCTATATTTAAATACAATTATACATGCAAACAGAGTTACTATTAGCAATATTATTGAAACATGTCACGTATCTATTATATTTTTCGGTGCTTATTTTGTGTCGATGTTTTCGGAAACAAGCTCTCTACTTTCCCAGAGTAGGGGTAATGTCTGCGTACACATTACCTTTCCTAGACCCCACTTCCACTTGTGGGATTACACTGGATGGTTGTTGTTGTATTTCGTGTCGATGTTTCATTTTACTATAATACATTATTAAATTTATATTTCGTTTATGTAATAAGAGTAGTGTTTAGACACTTGCTTTAAACATTCTGATTAGACTAATCAAAGCAGCCAACGGCTACACTATTTGTTTTATTGGATATTGGAGTATAATTATCTTTATTTTATTTTTTAAAATTTTTATAGTCTTAGTTTATCTATTTATTTTTACTTAATTGCAAGTGATAAAGACCTCATTTTTCCAAAGGAAAATAACATTACGGGCTGTAGCCAAATCATTTTTTACATTCACATTATTCTAAAGAACACTTGCACTTCCATCTCAATCATTTAAATAATAGCTTGATGAGTAATTAAAAGAGTCTATATAATAATACAAAACTTCATTGCATTTTAATATTCAGATTGATTGAAAATATTTGATAAGTTCATTATTCCTAACGCAGATATATACCGTTGGCTTAATGGCAAAATTATCACTATTCCACTTAATTTTAAAATGAAGTAACGACAAAGTGGAAAATATTCAAATTTTGAATGTGAGACAAATATCAACAACCGTTTCATACAGATATTTGTTGGAGATTTATTTCTTAAACAATTATGTAACTGATAATTTAACCAAGGCCATGGCGCCGACGATGTATCAAGGCTCGAGTGATTCAACGACAAGACCTTGAAAGCTGGTTTTTGTATGTGTCAGTAACGGAACGTTCTGTCAATCGAGTAGGTTTCTGCTAACAAGACCACAGAGGCGGACCCAGGATTTGAGAACAACGGGGGCACCATTAAAAACATTTGTAGTAGGCGGCCCGCATCATGTGATAAGGAGCAAGGCTTATACTTAGAAGTGAACCATTGCTCCAAGTGTAATTTTGTTAATGAGGGGGCCAAGAAAAATATTTAAGGGTCCCCAATGTATATACAACTATGCATATATAGAGCTTTTGCCAAAGTTAACGGGTTCACGTGACTTCTCACGGAGGGCTGTAGGTCCGCCTCTGCCTGGAGATATCAATGAGAATGCTGACACAAGTAATGAAAAATTCTATGAAAACCACGATCGCCTTGCATTCAATCAATCTACACAGATTGAATCGGTCCTAAGGAACCCGATACACGAAAGTGATGAAGTTGCTTTGATTATAGAACCATGCCGGTCTATTGGAGCGAATTGGATTTAAAAAATAAAATAAAAGAATAAAATTTATTCTAAAAATGACTTTAAAAAAATGATGTTTGATTTGAGATCGAGAATTAGAAAGTTTAACTTTCGTCTCCAAACTCCTTTATAATACATAACAGTGAATCAATGAAACTTTTTTTTTGTTTTGTAAAAAGTCAACGTAAACCAAAAATCTATCATAATTGAGAATTAAATAACTTTCAGAAATAGATTCTCAGAATTTCCATGATAGAGAGTGACCACTGAAAAATTCAAACCATTCATAGAACCCTTTAATATATCATTACTTTCTTACCTAACAAAGTCATTCTAGGGCCCCTAAATGACTCACTCAAATTTAATATATATACACATATCACAGCCCAGTTCATTTTAGTTATTTCAAAGTGGTTCATGTAGCTCAGCTGAACTGAAAATTCTTGTGTGGTTCGAAATCACATCCACTTTACAGCAGAGAAAGAGAATATGGGATAGAAAAATTGGTCAATTCATCGGGCTCAAGATGCGAAGATTACATGTTCGAATCTTGTCCCTGTCTAATCAGTGGAACATTATTCACTAGGATAGAAGACATGTAATGCCAATTGACAAAGTGACATTAAGCATCCCTATTGATACGAAAAGAGGGGTCTAATATCATCTATGTCCGTACTGCTCCTCGTTGAATAGATTTGATAAAACTTTACCCGCTCCTAGCAACTGCGGGTTGCAATAGCATGTTGTGAATAGGGGGGGCATACTCGATGTGACCACTCTCTTTGTTAGGGGCTTGTCGCCCTGCGCATCGGATTTTGACTTACAAGTATATGTTGGTTCTCTATTTTTTAACGAGTCTATACAACTTATGCAAATTCATATATACGCCACTAGTCTAATCATTCTTTTATATTTACTAAATTAGTGAACCTATCTCAAGTTTCGCTTAGTCTTTTGAGAGAAAACCATTGAATTATAACTCATTGAGGTCTAATTTGACCAAATTACTAAATTTAGGTCCATCAAATTGTATATCCAAATGGTAATATGGGTAAAGTTGAATTTGTTGTATGCCAAATTTAGCTTTGGTTAAATTTAACAGAATCATTATTTTCTTTCAATTTTGCTCTTGCTATTGAAGAGATTAATAGTAGGTACTCGCTTTCCAATATTAGCATTAAACAGTCAAGTAAATTACAGCTACTACTTAATACTACTCCTCCGGTCCACTTTAATTGATTTTTTACACATATTAAAAAATTCACCTTTTAGCATTAACTAATAATAAAATTGACAATATTAACCTTAATTTGTTCATAGAAAATAAAACAAGTATTCCTTGACTTTTATTCCAAGGGCAACTTTGGAAAGGAAAAGTTAATTCCTTCTTGATATGAGGAAAAAATCAAATATTGTGGATCACAAAAAAAGTTAAAAATTAATTAAAGTAAATGGGAGGGAGTAATGTTTTCTTAGTGAATTTAATTGCGGGATTCAATTGTATTTAACAGACGGAAAATTTATTGGGGTTTCGGAAAATGGGCAACAGTACGACAAAGGATATAATGCATATATCAAAATTGCCTCTTCTTCCTAAAAGGAAAAAGTGACGATATAGATTTCAAGTCATCGACACGGACGTTACAAAGGTAATTTTTGTTTTAATTAATTATAGTAGTTGATTCTTCTATATAAAGTTTTTGAGAAAAGTAACATTCCTTCACATTTATGAACCTATATTTGTTGTCACTTTCTATCCATGCAAAGAAAAATAAGACCATAGTATTGCTTTTAATTAGTGCAACTGTTGTTTGTGACAAAGAAAATTACTGGGATATTACCCTTCCTTTCCTTTGTAGCTTCATATATCGACTTATACTTTTAGTTGTCCCTTGTGTACATATTACTGTGAAATTTTGGTGCAGGGGTGGGTGGGTGGTTTTTGAAGAAATTTCCTGCTTCATTATGTTCAAGAAGAATTTTGAGAAACTTTCGGAAACCACTATGTTTTAGTGGTTATTAGCTAGTTGTAGCTATCATTTACTATATTACTTCATATAGCTATGTTTTCAGATTTTTAAAAGTGTATTCGATGTATTTAAGCTACTGTATTCATGAATACAGTAGCATTTCTAGGCGTGAAAACGGGGAATTACAGTTAGACAGATTTTTGTATTCGAGTGTATTCGACTGTATTCATGGCAACATGAGATTAAAGCTGGATAGATTATTGTATGCGACTATATTCACAGCGTGAAACAGGGGATTGCACTGTTTTTAAACGGAAAATGAATCAATTAACATAATAGACTCCTAATATAACTCAACAAACTCAATTATAACACACAAATTTTGTATTTCCCGTTATAAAAAAAATTCTCAACCGAAAAAAACCCCCAAAACATAGCAATCTTCAGAGAAATTATAAAATACATATGAATACATTCATGGAATATAGCGAGACAGTGAATACAATGAAATACATAGAATACAGCGGGATACATTGAAATAAAATGAAAAAAAAGACAATGAATACATTGAAATACATAGAATACAACGAGATACATTGAAATACAATAAAAAAAAGACAATAAATACAATGAAATACAGTGAGATACATTAAAATATATTAAAATATATTAACAGAAAATACAAGTTCCATTACAACGAGAAAATATCTGTCAAAATCTTTCCTTCTTCCATTGCTTTTTCAAGAGTAATTATCTGTAAATGGCGACAATTTCATTGTCTTTTGTTTGGTTGTGTCGATTTTGTGTACTCTTTTAGCAAATAAGAACATTAGGCCTCAGAGAGAAATTTCACGACTTCTTCTCCTTCTCCAGCGAGATTGAAATTCGACTGTGAATGAGATTGGGAGGCTGTGTCGAAACGGTGATGGTGGCAATTGCTCCAGCGTCCGGCGGAGGAGAAGACATCGGGAAGTAAAGAGAGAGAGGGAGAATAAATATGGGGTAGGGATAAGAGAAATTTGAGGGGATATGAGAGAAAAATAATACAAAGCTTATTTTATGGCTTAAAGGTAGGATGTGATCATAAATAGATATTTGGCTATAAAAATTAAAAGGTAGCTATGGAATTGTCACGACCTGGATTTCCCATCCTCGGGGGTCGTGATGGCGCCTACTCGTAGTAGCTAGGCAAGCCACGAAATACGAAAAATTCAATCTCTTTTATTTTAGCCCTTTTTAACCAAATAAATTATTAGGTGATCGACATTTAAATAATAGCGGAAGATGAAATTAAGCGGAAGACTTAGACAATTATAATACTAAAATCGATACGAAGGAAAAGAAAGACAACATATGCCTCTACCCAGAAACTGGTACCACAACATTCACGGACTGACTATGATTACTACATACAAATGTCTAAAAGAAAGATCACTGTCTGTCTCAGATATAAATGATAGCAGAACATAATAAAAGATAGAGGAGATGTCGGGCCTGCAGACGCCTGTAGGGCTACCTCGGAGTCTCAGTGGACTAAAAGTTGGCTCCCATACTGCTGCTGACCAAGTGCTGCTTCGGTATCTGCACAGAGTGCAAAGCGTAGCATTAGCACAGCCGACCCCATGTGTTGGTAAATGTCTGGCCTAACCCCTGCGAGGTAGTGACGAGGCTGGGACCAGACTCCACATAAACCCGTGCAATGATATAATATACCGTGGGA